GACATATAAGTGAAGGCCACACTGAAAACATGTTTATAGTCTTGGACTAAAGGCAGTATCAAGTGGCAATGCCAAAATAAACTTCATAACTTAGCATCTTTTATTTTGTGAATATTTTCTTATTTAGCATGAGGCTAGAACAAATCCCTCTCAACCGTAGGTGGACTGGTAATGACCGGGAGGTTAAGTTTAAAGCATAGTCCTGGTACTTCCATTGAAGCATTGCTGATAATAGTACAAATGCAGCTTTAGGAGTGTCGACAACATTTTAGCCGAACAGCTTAAAGTCATTTGTGAAATCAGTGAAGTGTAAAGTCTGTAATAAAACCCCGTTTCTTCCTTTGCTGATAAACAGTTAGCCTACCCAGGGGGAGATGGCAACATGGAACAGTTCCCCTCAGGCCCTCTGGATCAGAACATCGTGGAGAGCCAGGCAGTGCAGCTGGACTACATCAACTCCACCTACTCCCGTGGCCACTTGAACCCCAGCCTCCACCACATGAGCCACGACACCCGCTCTTCCACCTTCACCCTCACCAACGTGGTTCCCCAAAAGAAGGGCTCTAATGATGGGCCTTGGGAACTTCTGGAGCACAGTGTGAATCACACCTTAGCCACCTACTGTCTCGGAGATGCCTACGTCGTGACGGGCATCATCCCCTACCGCAATGACGAGCACTGGCTGAAGAATCACCGCGTGGCGGTGCCTGAGTATATGTGGTCTGCCTACTGCTGTCCAAAGTACAACCAAAGTCTTCCAAAAGAGCTAACCAACGCCTTTCCCACGTACGCGGGCATCGGACGCAACGACCCCAACAGCAGCGAGGAGATTGTGCCTGTTGATAAGACGGTTAAGAAACAATTCAGGGGATATGATGTGAGAAATATGTCCCTGGAAACACTCGAGATGTACTTGAAGGACAGATTCAATACTGTTGTTAGTGTGTTTTATGAGCAGTGCACCGGATCAGACCTCACAGAAAATACATAAATGATACATAAATGTTGTTTATATACACATTTCTGTGAGGAGAATGACACAAAGTGCAAATATTAATGACCACTACTGAAATGATTCATACACAACGCGCTGCCGCTGAGTTCAAGTATGCACAAAACACTTTAAACCACTAGGTGGTGTCCTTGTGCAATACATGTAGCTCCACATTTCGGCTGAAGTTGTATATATGTATCAAACTAATTCTGATTCTGATTCACTAAATAACTAATAATGATCAGTGGTGTAAGAACTACTCAGGTACTAAACAACAATGCACATTCCTACCAAAGTAGAGCACAGATGTTTTGTTAGCCAAATATACTTGAAGTATCAAAGAAAACTTTTCATAACCTGATCTATAACTTCTATATCTTTGCCCCAAAGGGAAAAAGTGGCAATGACTCCAACTCTTACATGCAACATCTATATTACTACATATTATTCTTTTATTTTTTACTATTGAGAAATTGGAATGTCCTAATTTTCCCTTTTGGGTGCAGAAAGTATATCCGATTTATCTAACAGCACATAGTATGTGTTAATATGTGCACCTGCAAATGACAGAAACTATAATAAATCGATATAGAAAAGATTTTCATTGCTGCAGTGTTTGTGTCCTAAATCAGCTTCCACTGTCTGAATCAAAATGTTGTAAAATTCCACAGATGATTAAAAATGTAAAGCTTGACTCTTAAAATTATATTCAAACACAGTACTTGAGTAACTGTAATGAATTACTTCCCAAACCTGCTGGTTTTGTTTGTACTTCATGCCCCCAATCAAAGTAATGAGTAACAGACTCAGTCACTTGCTCCACAAGTCAAACCCAACTGGTTTGTCGTTGTGTGTATTTCATGTCAAATGATCACTGACACTTGTGTTTTATCACATCAGACTAGTAAGAATTTATTGCATTTACAGGTAATACAGTAGCACAGGTGTACAATTGGCTACACGGTGGTGTTTCAAGCAGGTTTAATCTGACAAACATGAATCAACAACTCAGTAAGATTGCTGCATGTGGGGAGTGAAGAGCTTGTCCCAGATCTCCACCTTCATGATGGCCCTGCCCAGGGGGGACATGGTACCCTTGATGTCCAGGCTCCCGCCCTCAAAGGTGAGGTCGGAGCCTTTGGCCTCCACCCGCACGAATCCCACCTGCTCTTTGTTGTAATACATCTCTTTGAACAGGCTCTCATTGCACTCTTTGCCCTTCTTGTAGATTCCCAAGGCAAACCAGTTCTTGTACATGTTATAGTCATATGGCACAGAGAACATTATAGCGAGTGTCTCATCGGCTCTGTTGAGCTCCTTCTTGAACAGGTCGTAGGTCAGCACGCCCACTGCCCCAGTGGCTTTGGCTTTGCCCTTGCCGAAGTTGCACACTTCAGTCTTTTGTGGACGTACAGTCGGTTGTGGGGGGCTGCGGCAGCTGCCACTTTCCAGGAAAAGCCTTTAATTTTTAACAGCAGCAAAAGTGAGGAAAAAATGAAAGCAGGAGGCAAAATTTGAAAAAGAATTTTCCTAACTGGGTATTTGTCAAGCTGCACGTAAAGCATATTCTAACTTTAATCTGTACAGACAAAGTGAGCAAAAGTGTATTTATTTTGGACATACTTAGGGTCAATCAGGCAGTAGTTGTTGGTGAGGTTAGTGATCTCTATGGTGACGTTCCTTCGGCTTTCGATAGCGGCAGCCAAAGCTTCTGCAGATTCACTCATGGTGTGGCTTGTAAAGGCTGTGACAGACAGAACAGAAGTGTAAACTGCAGATCTGTGAATGAGTTTAACCAATTGAAATAAAAATGCAAATCCATCTGAAACCCTCAAATAACTGAGCAGGAATGAAGCGTCTTACCTGTCGGGATCACTGGTACGTAGCTGACTCGTGCTTGGACAGATTTGAGACACTGAGTTCAGCTCTTACATGAGTCTCGTTGGGGAATGCGTTGCACCCAAAGGTGTCTCCACCCATAAGCATGCATCCACCTCCCATGTTACTTCCCATCGCATGTCTGCAGAGGTGTAGAGCAAAGGGTGTAGCTAACAATAACAGCACAGGATAACTGTAGTCTTTTTGTTCTCACACTGCTGTCAATTTGTGAAACTACGAACTGGTTTGTTGAGGTTTGTGGGATTTTTCTGCACTACACCTTTTCTTTCTGGGTCTGTGATTTTGTTTTTCCATTGTCTGCATGAGGAAACAAACATGCTTCGTCTCTGCAGAGGGCTTTGACAGTTTGAAACATGTCTGTTGAAAGGTTGATGAATAACCTATTCCCCAAACCAAACCAACAAGAAAATTAACTTTAAACTTAAAAAATTCCGATAAGAAGAGGTTATAATACTTTATAATAGACCCTGCACTCCTAATATTACTGTGTAATCCCATTGGAAGAACAGGAAGAGTTATTCATCCTTGTCAAGATAAGAAAAGATGTGATACACGGTGGCCATAGGCACTAAACATTAAACATAACTTATTAAAAAGATATATTAAATAACTCAATAAAATTACATGCAATGACCAAACAAAATACCACAGCAGGGTAATGTTATTGGTCTGTATTTGTGTGACTGTGCAGAGCAGATTACAGGAGCAGCATGTCAGAGATGAACACCTGATGATTTTACAGGGAAATAGTGTTTAGATTAGAGATTAGGATGCTCTAGAATAAAGCATGCATCCGTAATACTTTTGGGGAGGTTAGGACACTTATTCAATACTATATAATTTGAAAACCTTTATATTAGCTTCATAACGATGGCTCACAACAGTGAAAACGACATCTTAAGGATGAGATAATAAGTTAGATAGTAAGATAAAAGTAAAGACTACAATTTGAGGAAGAACTAATGATGATCACAACTCCCTTTTCCTCTCTTTTAAAACACTCATTATTTTAAAATACTTATAGTATTTTTTGCAGTTTTATACTCTTTTGTTCCATCGTATCATTAGTAAGCAGGAAGTGTTGTCAGCAGTGAACTTAAACCCTAACTTTAGAAGAAATTCCACAGTAAATAACTGGAAAATAGTGGGACAAGTCACAGGCTGGGTTAAGGGTTGAGAATGATTAGCTACATTTTTATTCACTTTTGCATGCAAACATTTGAAGTCATGTCCAACAATTTATTTTTAGATTGAACAAAGAAACACAGAGGACAACAAGTCAGTTGAATTGTTTTTTATTTGTTTGAAGCACCTCTAAACCATAAGGATGACAACTTGCACTTTAGTTTTCAGGAATATCAGCAAATACACTCGACACACTTGTTTGCGAACATTTTATTCTCACACCTAATACAACCAGACTCTTTAGCCCATCCTGTCATACAGCTCCAGTTTAACAATAGCTTTGCCCTCATCGGACATACATGCCCTCACATCCACCGTCTTGCCTCTGAACACCAGCCCTGAGCCTTTGGCCTCGTAGCGGACAAAGTCGCTGCAGTTCTTGTCGTTGTACATGTAGTTGAACAACTTGCTGTCGACAGCTTTCGATTTATCAAGGACGCCCACGCCGAGCCAGTTCTTGTAGAAGTTGTAGTCGAACGGCACGGAGAACATGATGGCCACAATGCCATCGCAGCGGCGGCTGCGCATGTCAAACAGGTCATAGGTCAGCACACCCGCAGCACCTGATGCTGTGTTGTCATCCTTGGTGAAAGAGCACACCTCTGTCTTAGTGGTGCGCACGGTGGGCTGCGGAGGGCTGTGGGCGAAGCCACTTTCCATGTGAACCCTGAAAGGAAGGAGGGCAGAGGAAACGATCAAAGGTTTATTAATGCACCTCGATGTAAAAACAGTCAACTGTGCAATATCCTCCTGACTGTTGATGCCATCAGACATTTAACTCTGGCACTGCTGGAGGTGGTGCAAGCTCATCAACTGCAGACTCAACAGGACTAATGTTTAAATATCAAAGGACATGCAAATATCATTCTGGCCATTTTTTACACATCAGTAAAAAATATTGGTTACAATTAAAATGCAGACACAAGAAACCACAAGGATACAAAGTAACAAATGATGGATGGCAGAAATAACTTGTGTTAAAGAGTGATAGACAGGTCTTTTTGTCTGACGTTTGATAATTTTGCATCACACGGGCATTGAAATTTTAAAAGATAAATGTCTTTTTTTTTGTTTAACTGCAAACAATAAATGCTCTCTTACATAAGCAAAGAAATCAAAAACTTTATGCTGGAGTAAAAGAGAAATAGTTTGGGCTGTGTTACTTTGGGTTGACGAGGCAGTAGGCGGTGGTGATGTTGGTGATTTCCATGGTGCAGTTGCGATTGGTGGTAAGAGTGGTGGAGTGGGCCTCTGCATTTTCAGCCATGGTGACGACTGCTGGTAACGGCTACAAGAAAAACAGGTGTGAGCCGTGCAAAGTGCAGCAAAGCTCTGTCATGAAATGTTTTAGCTGTCCTGCTGAAATAAACACTGGAATATGAACTGAAGATGAAGTAAACACGAAACATTACATATAGCCAAAAAGTCACTATTAAATATCTGTATTCACTAATTTCACAAACTGACAAAAACACCTGCAGAAATGAGCACTTACTTCGCGTTAGGTGACACACACAGGATGGCAGAGAGTCCTCTGAAAACAGGTCGGACTTCGATTTGGAGATGAGTTTAAAGTCACGCCCTCTCTGTCACACCTAACACATGAGCTTCAGTTAAGTGGGCGTGCCTTTCTCTTTCTCTCTGCTTTCAATCAAACAGTATGTGATCACTTCACATGTACCTGCGAGTCTGGTAACGAGTGCAGAGTTGCACCCAAAACCTCACGATCCTTAAACCACCTGAACCGGTCTATCTTTGCAGCTGACATGAAATTCTGCTTTTCTTTGGGGGGGTTTCCACAGTCTGTCTCTTCACAGGAGATTTAACATTCTTGCAACAGTTTCATGATTCATGGACACAAATGAATTCAACACACCCTTTTTTAAAGGTCTGGATGTTTAAATATTTGTTTGTCCTTGATGTTTGAATCCGCAGCCTGTCCCAACATGCAAAAACTGGAAGTGAGAAAGCAGAAAAGTTACCAGCCCAGCAGTTCACATTCAGACATATTATGACTAAAAACACAAAGAGGGATTACAGATTGCTGTGACCCAACAAATAATTGCAGAATGACAATACAAAAGCAGAATTACTGCATAAACATGCAAAAGTACAAATAAGACAAACAATGAGAACCAAATAGAAATGGAGCACAAAGTGACCAAAAAGAAATGGTAAATGACAAAAAAAAAAAGAGCAACAGGACTATAAATACATGCGGCTTTAGTAAAAACAATTTTTAAAAAAAGTTCCCCGCCCACCCCTGCGGGCAGGCTATCCTTCAAGCTCCTCCACCAGAGGCCTGGGAGCTTGAGGGTCCTGCACAGTATCTTAGATGTTCCTAGGACTGCGCTCTTCTGGACAGAGATCTCCTTTGTTGTTCCTGGGATCTGTTGGAGTCACTCGCCTAGCTTGGGAGTCACTGCACCTAGTGCTCCGATTACCATGTATGTCTTTTCTTAAGTTTTCTACCACAGACAGACAGTGGGGCGGTCACCACTGGTGGGACTACTG